TAAAAAATGGACACAGTTGAAATATGGTTTAGTGATGAGGAATATGATGCGGAAGCTAATAGATTAGTAGAGTTAGCTAAAGCAAGGAGGGAATTGCGAGATTCGTCGGATCCCTTGGACTTTGAAGGTGTATGTACACGTGTGAGTTTTATGAATAGAAGTTTTATAGGTCACTCATCACGACCGTCTTGATGTATGGCGTAGAAGCGTTGACGGCCCTTGAAGTTTCGGAAAGAAAAATTATACGGGACAACTCATACGCTGACGACTGTTCGATATTGGGTATAGCATTGAAGACCTCTGTACGAAAGTACCTTTACCTCTGATAGCCTGCAGGCATTTTTTCATGTATATATGCACGCGGCGCCGACATACATCGGCTAATCGCTGGTCTTCACGACGTACCGATGAGTTATAAACGGCATTCGTAGGGAAAAGTTGCCCACCTACCACAACTCCCGGCCTATTAATGCCGTGATCGGAGCCCAATCTCCACCAATTACAGACTCGGCACTGTTACGGTTACGATATTGTAACCATCTTAACAGCTACTTGTCCAGACCCGACTCCGATATCTCCAATGAGTTTTCGGCATGCGGAGACTCCTTTCACGACAATAATCATCTCTTCACATGTCATTTCGATCCAACTCAGCTAACACCCCTCTCCCTTTGGTCCGACCCCGACGAAACAGCCGGTTTCTTGCGCTCATCGTTAGTTGTGTTTGGCGACAACGCTCGATGGACAAACCGCGCTCGACTATGTTTTTAGCCTAAGAGATTATCACAATTAGTTTGATAAGACAGTTTCGTATATTTGCTTGTATATCTTTGAAGATTAACCAGGACAGGCTAGAGCGTATCGTAAAACCTATTTCGTATTTTTGGACCGCAATCAATTGTTTCCATGGAACATGAACTTGTGGCTTTGTAATGGTTTATACTTCAAAACCAGCTACAAACGCCAAAATGGCTAAGGCTCTAATAATACAAATCGTTTTGTTTTTTTAGAAAATTGCAGTTTTTTTCTTTTAGATCCTTTTATTTTTTCAGCCAAGTAGCTGCAACTGTTACAGCAAAATTTCTTGCGAAAATCCAACCAAATCATCCATTTACTTTTCTATGAAATTCTGTTATAGTAAAAAAATCGATTTCGCACTCAGATACTAACAACGGTAGATTAGAAATTTTAGAATTATATATAAATGTAAGTCATAATCTAACCAGAGCAGAAATTTCTTATCTAAAATTCATCTGTTTTGCAATTTCATTATAACTACTCGACGTTAGTTAATGTTATCTCCCACTGATAAAAAAAAAGTAAAAATGTAAATTTAGACTATAGCTAAGCCGATGAAATATTAGGCCGTTAGGCGTTATCTGTTAATATTTCAATGTAATTTCTACCTACATGAATTTCCTTACGCGAATTTGTTGTCATACTAAAATCGCCAGATCTGTATGATTTAGCTGATAGGAAATTATAACATTATCTACTCACTTGAACGACAACAAATCGGGTGATCCCTTCGGCACCTTGGTTTTCCGCAGCTTATAAATTTCTTTGGCAGTTTTCATCAAAAGCTTATGCAATTGCTTTTCTTCTGGGCATTTCGCTGGATCAGCACGCTCGACCAAGCGCTGAAACTCTTCATTCTCAATAGCCCATGCGGCAATTAAGGGATCGCGATTGTCACGGCCCTTTTCGAGACTAAAAAAAAGTAAAGAGAAACAAAAGAAATATTTTGCTTTTAGTAAAACAGTTTTCGGAAATTGCAATCATCTTCGACTTACACTTCCTTTAAGTTCTGCAACTTGGCTATTTGATCGTTTAGGAAATCTAATTTACTATGTTGAGCCTGTAGATCAAGTTCCAGATCCAAACTTGTTCTCGGTATGTGTGTATGACGAAGTTCTGAAAGAAAAAGAAAACAATTAACAACTTTTCTACGCGCACTCCTGCCTTCNGTGTGTATGACGAAGTTCTGAAAGAAAAAGAAAACAATTAACAACTTTTCAAAAACGCTTTTCTACGCGCACTCCTGCCTAATCAACACTTACTTGTGACTTGTTTGGGCACTTTAGTGTGGAAACGCAGCGAACGTCGCTCCAAAGCGCCACGATGGAAGGGATGCGGCGTAACGCCGAAATGCATAGCCGAATCTGAGTCGGAGCGGTTCAGCCGACAAATGTAGCGATTTTTGTTGACGGCCGCCGAAGGTGTGAAAGTCTGCGAACGTTTTACCGGCCTGTCGTCGGCCATTTGCTGTTGCTGCTGGGAGGCGCGCGACTTTTCGGGTGGAAACGCGCACTCTGTATTAGTTTCTTTGTCGGCATACTCCTGCTTGATTAGGTCGATGCAATTGTATGCTTCCAGCATTTTCTTTGTGAAGTCAGCTAGAGTGAATAACGAAACAATATTAGCGAGACGACACTTCGTAATTGTTTTCAATGCATTCATCTTACCATCTGTCAGTCCCTCCAATTCGTCGTCATCATCGTCGTCGTCCTCATCATCGTCTTCCTCATCTTCGTCATCCTCGTCATTGACGGTTAATTGTTCTTGCATTTCTTCAGTGATTTGCGCCTGCACATCGAACGGTGGCACTTGATTGCGTGTCAAAGTTGACGTTTGTGACGAAGTGATGGTCGATTCATCGGATGACTCCTCCTTGGCGGCGTTTGGTACACTGCCACTAGCGCTAGTTGTGGGCGTATGCTTCGCAGTAGCTGTACTGACGGCGACAGCTGCAGCCGCCGCCGCTGCAGCGGCACTGGCAGCGGCCGCAGCAGCAGCGGCAGCACTCGTCGACGGCATGTCTAGCGGCTCGAAGGTTGGCATAAATTTAGAGCTGAGTACATTATACCACTTGAGTGTGGAATCATCGGGATTGAATTCGGCCATGCTTATCTGTACTGTGCCCTGTGTTGTTGGTGAATGGGAAATAAAAATGTAAAAGGGGAGTCTTTGATATGTAAGCGCAAACTTACGATAATTTCCTCCTTCTGTCCAGTCATGCTGACCACAGTCACCTGCAAGCTCTTTGTCTGCAGTTTACTAAGCGTTATAGGCACGGCAAAAGTGTCGCTAAATACAGGCTTATGAAAGTCCGACATGGCCTTTGTGCGAATCGATGTAAGCGAATTGGGTAGCAAAGCGGCGCGTAAATAACTGTGGAAGTGAAAGAACTCATTAATGAAAAACGCAAGTTACAGCGATTTTATGCGCAACTTACACTTGTGAGCTGTCCGCAGTCGCAGTCCACAACGCTGAAAGATTGTTCGCACGTTCCAGCGAGACGACTAGTACACCCTTCTCCTTCAAATACTTTAAACCAATTTGGACTTGAGCCAACTCTTTGCGTGGTAGATGTGCACGCGACGCTTCAAAAACGCCCGAGTCACCGGCCACCGACTCATTGCTCACTGCCGCCGATACGGAGCGTGTATTCGAGGAGGACGAGGAACGGCTGAGCATTTCTTGCGGCAGATCCAGTAACGATGGCTTCTCAGAAATCGGCGATAGTGGCGCAGCGGCCAGATTTAGTGGCGCGGATAAGTTTAGCTTCTGCAGCTTGGCTTCCAGCACCATGCAGTCCAGCAGCGTCGAGTCTAAATCGTGCGCATGCGTGCGTGCCATAGCGGCAGCCAGCGCTGGGCTCGGTTGGTACAGCGGTGGCAAACCGGCGCCGGCAGGTGTATTGGCATAGGTAGGCTCCTCCTTGAGCCGCTGACTTGCAACCGCCGCCACCTGATCGGGACTGGCATTGTATTTCATGGGTGAAGCGGGTGGTGTTTCCATTGAAAGGCTGCTACGCGGCGATAGCGACAACTCAGATGAGGGTTGCTGCTGCAACTGCGGATGCGCGTGTGCTATCGCATGCGTTTGTGATTGCTGCTGCTGCAGCTGTAATTGCGCCTGGGCGGCTTGCAGTTGTTGTTGCTGGTAGAAACGCTGTGAACGCCGCTGCAGATCGATAACATCAATTTGTGAATCGACCGCGAATGGGTCGATGTAGATGTCGGTGAAGCTGAGCGCGCTCTTGCTGCTTGCCGTCGACAGTGAACCCAGACTAGAACCGCTGCTAATGGAGAATGTACTCTCCGACGAGAATGACTTGAGCCGTTCCTCTAGTTTCTTTGTAGACTTCAGCGCCTCCTGTAACTCGCCCACAAGCAGCTGCTTCTCCTCGTGGAAGCGCAGACGCTTCGCTATGCATTGATTAGTAGCCTCATATGCCTCATTAAGATCCTCCTCGAGTTTGCGACGTGTCTGCTGTATGACGCGCACCTCCTCGGGTGTGCGTGACTCCATTGAAATGCTATTCAAATCGCTAAGGAATTTCTCCTTCTCCTGTATCAACAAAATGCGATCCTTATCGGACTCCAGTTGGCCCGGATCGATGCGTTCCACATGGTCCGCTAGCTGTTGCTGCAACTTCTTAATATGTTTGCGCCATTCGGAATACTGTAGCTTTGTCTTGGCCATCTCGGCAAAACGCGCGCCACTATTCATATCGCCAGCGCCACACAAATCTGTCTGCGAGGCGACGCAAACGCGATCAAACGGCGAGGCGGCGTTCATCAACTCAGCATTTTCGTCGTTTATCTGCTGGCGGCTGAGTTCATTCTTGATCTGCACCAAACTGCGCATCAACTCTTCGCGCACCTTCTCACCCGACACCAGCGACTTGTGCACTTTGAGCATTTCCTCGCGTATGGCCTGCACTTCGGCGATATCGTAGCAGCCATTTTGGCGCGCATTTATCTTCTCGCCCACCGAGTGCAGCGTATTCATACCGCGCTGTGTGTAGCTAATGTCGTGTGTGATGTGCTTCAGCTCCTGCTTCAGCAGACGCACTCGCTCCTTAGCCATGGCGAGATCGGCGCGCAGTAACTCGGGATCGTGGCGACTCATTGAGCTAGAAGAGGAACACACTGCAACGGAGAGAAATGGGTAGTAATAATAGGTAGTGACATTAACTGACTGTAAATTTTGGGCATGNTGCTTCAGCAGACGCACTCGCTCCTTAGCCATGGCGAGATCGGCGCGCAGCAACTCGGGATCGTGGCGACTCATTGAGCTAGAAGAGGAACACACTGCAACGGAGAGAAATGGGTAGTAATAATTGGTAGTGACATTAACTGACTGTACAATTTCAGTATNCTTCAGCTCCTGCTTCAGCAGACGCACTCGCTCCTTAGCCATGGCGAGATCGGCGCGCAGTAACTCGGGATCGTGGCGACTCATTGAGCTAGAAGAGGAACACACTGCAACGGAGAGAAATGGGTAGTAATAATAGGTAGTGACATTAACTGACTGTAAATTTTGGGCATGGACAGAAGGATACTTACAACTACTTCTGCTCGCCGCCAATTTATTCAGGTGATTGTACTCTTCTTGCGCTATCTGCAAGCGCTGTTGCTTAATATCATACATTTCGCGCTTGTTTTCTAATTGATCTTGCGCCGCTGAGAGATAGTCACGCAACATTTGCTCCTGCACACTTTTCCATTCCTGCCGCGGATCCTCCAGCTGTGTAGTCTGTTCAATGTGATTGATGTAGTACCGGCCAATGTGCGGATCATATGCTTCCTCCCAGCCGTGCGGCAGTTCATCGCCGACGCAATCTTCGAACGACTGAGGTTTAGTATAACTGGAAGAGTATGAAAAACGGAAATGCTTATTAAATGAGGCAAAAGACGTCGTCTTACATATTCATTAGTTATATTTATCTATATTTAATGCATACATATATCTAGCTTTGTAAATATTTTCCTGCTCTAAGCTATGGCCTAGTATCGCAATTGTAATCACCAACTTCCGGCACCATACGCGCCACACTGATGAGTGTGATGGTCTTCGGAAATCACTTACGGCCACGACAAACTAAAGATAAGTCGCCAACCAGTTAAGTGGCTATTTTGTCCGTTGCCTGGCATACTTGATTAGCTATTAGGCGACGGCACAGCGGCGCAGTTGCGCGTGGGGAAACTTGTTTCGTTTGGCGCTTGACTCATAAACTCACCCATTTCCCACGCTATTCCAAGTGCACACAACATTTTACATACACATGATACATATGTATGTATGTATGTATGTATGTAGATAAACGCGCTAACTAACTAAGTAATGGCATTTGCTTGTTCGTTGATTGTCCGGCGATCGGCTGGCAATACTTAATCATGCAAATTCATTCAAGCCACTAGCGTGCACACGCATACATACATATAAGAGCACATCCATACGTTTGTTGGTATGTGTCGACGAAAAAAAAAATGCTCGGTATTTTCAAAAGTCAGCAGTAATAAAAAGCGTACTCGCATAAGACACGCCTGCAGTTGCTTTTTAAATATTTACTTTCAGCATTTTTGCTAGCAAATATTTTATTAAATTTATAAAGCGTACAAATATTGTGGGTATGGATAGTCAGTTGATAAAAAACAAATACTTAGCGCAAGTGTCAGGAGATAGAGACTCGAATATGTATGTATGCACATTAGGGCGGGTCATATTTTTTTTGTCTATGCGCGTATGGCATAGGAGGATTCTACGTGTAATTCTAACAAATTTGCTGAAGAAACCGTGGGTCAAGAATCAATTTCTTAACGAGAGTACAGCAAATGCTATTTATTTTCGTAATTTGGCCAACTCCGAATTGATTTTAGACGCATGGTCTCTTCGGAAAATTTTATAAGAAATTACGCGTAGAATCCGCTGTGCTATACCCGCATAGTCGAAAAAATCTCCCATACAAATTGATCCGCCCTAATGTATGTACATACATACGCAAATAGCAATGAAATCATAAATTTAAAAGCATACGCATATACATATGTATGTACATAAATATATACAAATATTTCTATTCTATATGCTTCTAGATTATACTCGTACAATATGAGCTTGCAAGGCTATATGTAAATACATAAAAATTACAATATTCACATTATTATATGAAATCAGTTGCGTAAGTCGCATGAGAAATGCAAATGACTTCAGCTGTACGTAAACCTAACGAAAAGTTATGTGTTAACAAAATATAATAATATTTTCAAGGAAAAGAAAAAAAATTTAAAACACCAAAAACAAAGAATAAATTGTCGCACAAATTTTATTTCAAATCTTCAGGCATTCGACAGTCCTAAGTAGAGAACATAGAGGTTTCTGTAAATCTTCATGATTTGGTAAGCTTCGTTGTACACTAAAGTTAAACACTAAGAAATGCCCATCTCTCGCTTTTGCTGCTAAAAGTTTGTTTTAAGAATTTTTGTCAAAGACTTATAGCCCATTTCCACCATAAACTTAACTGCCGTTGAAGAAAAATATCTTTTATTCAAAAAGTTACTGGCTTATCTAACTGCCCTCGTACTTCATACTGTAAAATTAAAAACAAGAAAATAATTTAAGGCCAAGAATGTTTTAAGAACTTGGAGTTACTGAATTTTATTTTTGGTATCGAAATACATATTTCATTTTTTTCAACAGTTTTTCTTTGCAATAAAGCATGACATTATATATGTACATATGTACATATACTACATCTATGTATGTATGTAAATTAAATATTATATCTTGGATTACATTCCACATGTTTTTAATGCTACAAAATTTTGACGTTTCGATTCGTCACCATATTTAATGACTCCATTGTTAATTATGTCAAAATTTTGACATGTTGACAACCTTATGACTGGCTATCACCGAGTGACAGGTTAAGCTCTTGAGTAATAGTTTTCAAGCATTCAGAATATGGTATGTCTATACGTACACACATACATACATATGTACATAAATAAATATCGCTATTGTGATGGAAGAACGTAATCCACCTTAAAAAACGCCCGCTTCGAAAATTGTTAGTGTATTGTTTCCAGCGTTGCCATTTTAGCCGTTTTCCGGCTAGATTTAGCCGGTTTTGATAGCAACTAGCCGGAGAAAATTCGATCTAGCCGGCAGCCGATTTGTTAGCCCGTTTGTAAAAAAAAGTTAGCCGTTTTTAGCCGATTTTACTACTTGCCTAATTTTCAGGTGCAAAAAGTAAACAAGTTGTTCGAAAGCAATAATGCAGACCCAATGAAGATTTTTAATGANATTTAATTTAATTTAATTTAATTTTATTTTATTTTATTTTATTTAATTTAATTTAATTTAATTTAACTTAATTT